CCGCCCGGGGGGGCCAGCCACGAGAGAAAGCTGGAGCTTGTGGCAGGAGGGCTGGGGGCAACACGCTGTTGAGTTCGAGCCCCGAATGAGCCTCGTGAATTTGAGAAACCACAGTTTGGGTGGGCCAGCGCTCCAGGAACACGGCGGCCTCTGGGCCCGCCCTTCTAAAAGCGAAGTGAAGGCCTCCGAGAGCCCTGGGAGCTATTTGGGCTCCCGGTGATGACATCAGTGCCTGATGACATCAGCATGGTGCCATGTCTCTAATATGACATCACTGCCTGATGACATCAGCGTGGTGCCATGTCTCTAATATGACATCACTGCCTGATGACATCAGCATGACCCCATGATGCGTCCCAGTAAGGATATCACTGCCCAGTGACATCCGCATGATGCCATGTGTGATGGAGTGGGGTGTGCTGTAGAGATGTGACGGAGTGGGGGGCTGTACACTCTTGTGGCCCTAGGTCCACTCTGGTTGGGCAGTCACTGGTTGCTGTGTTGCGCTGTGGGTGACCCCTACTGGCCTACGCTGGTCTGCAGAGACTGTGTGTGTGTCTGTGTGCACTGCCCAATGGGAGGTGGTCCCTGTGGGCAGGCACGTAGGCCATGGCCTGGCAACTTGTCACTTGGCCAGGGGAAGGAGTTTGAACAAAGGAAGGGGGTGGCTACCTGGGGGGATGAGTGATCTGTGGCTGGGAGAAGGGGCAGTCTTGGCTGAGGGAAGCATGGAGGAAGCAGACTAAGTCCAGACAGGGGTTCAGGGGCCTGTGAACCCCTATCCCCCAAGAGGACTAAGGTGTCTACCCTGGCTCCTGTGGCAATGTTGAGCCCATGCTGCTCTGTAACACTGAGAAGCAAATAAACCTTCTATTCCACTGGCTGGCAGCGTCACATCTGGCTGTGGACGGAGGTGCAGGGTCGGGGGCTCCCTGATGCGCCGTCACAATACACCACACCATTTTGCCACACGAGCTGGAGCCCATCGATTCGGTATATTGGGGTGACATGTACGTCAGACTTCCACTCAAGCAAAGTACTCAACATTACCTGGGGTTTGGCCAGCCCCAGAGGGTGAGTGGTATGTGTGAATGTGTGTGGGAGAGTGTGTGTTACAGCTGGATTAGGAATTAGGCTGCAAAAATTGGGTTAAGGATTAGACTGTTAACTATTCCATTTAAACATTGCTTTTAACCTGCCTTTTAATTGCTAATTACTAGATTATATCTCGCTTTTAAAACTGCTCCTGAACTGCTGGCAATAAAACTTATTAAAGGTATATTTGGGCTACTGTGGCTTTTTTGTCCTGTGACGCTGATCAAAATGCCCTGTAGTGCGGCCTGATCGACTGTACAACAACGCCCTCTTGTGAACACAGTAGAAAAACTGTTAGCATATGCTTCAGAAACGACAAGGCCACACACACACACACACACACACACAACACATAAGTCCTG